TATATATATATATATATTTATATTTGCCATGTTGAGGTAGATACACATGAAACTTTTCCAATCAAAGAGGATTCAGTGTGATTTAATAAACGAGGAATTTTGAGGTCCAACAGCACTTTAAGACATATAAAAATACAATTATGCTACCACTTGGGGCATAATATTCCATGCTTAAAGACATGATAAAGGTTAAAATAGTAACTATAATAACAAAAGTCAAAGAAAGATAAGGGGATGTAATCACCTGGAAGGAAGGATTGGGGGGGGAGGCTTAATCAACTTTTGTAACAAATCTCTTCACTGTACTTAAATGCTTATCTAAGATTATTTTATTTTAAACGAAAAAAAAAACCAATGAGTTAGTGGATTCATGTATTGTCCTCTACCAAAACCTATCATGTAATTCATAATTTATTATATAATATAGTATAATTTAGTAACATAATTTACAGCTGTTTTGGTGCCTAGTCCCATCCACTACAGTAGCACACACCAATAATGTTTATAAAATTCTTTGAGATCTGTAGAGATGTGATTATTCAGCACTTGATGAAGCTTCTTTGTAATTATCTTTCAACCCACGCACGATTAAAATAAAGCCTTAAAAAAACATGTCTATGTTGACCATATATATATATATATTTGTAAAAATGCACTTAGAATAGTAAGGGGAGTTTAGTTGCTAAATAAAGGAATATTAAGAAGTGGGCAATGATGTAAGCATATATACTAATAAGAGTCTTCGATGAGATCTGGGCATATCTTCTTAGAGCAGGAAAAGCTTATAAATTATCACCCAAAAGCATATGTTTTCAGGTGGATCAAGTCATCATCTAATATTATTATACAAATAGCTTAAAGCATTTTGGTTTGGACAGTTGTTCTGGTTGGACCCCACCTTTTGTTACTTTGGGGACATATTATGAGTAGTATTAGATTGTGTTTTTATTCCTTTGTCTCTAACCTAGATCTTTCTTTGGTGGACTTGTTCCACCAATAGATCTCTCATGCTCATCAATTTCCCACTCCTTTTTCTGTTGTTTATCTCATTATGTTCAAATTGCTTTCTTGCTTTGGCAGAAGAATTCCGACGAGGCATGCTGTCATCAAACCAATTACAATTTATCCTTTTAAGTTATGACCATGTGGAAGAAAATGAGGCCATGAGAAAGAAAAGGATTGGATTATATTAGTGGGTTGGTTTTGATTGATTGATTTCTTTCTTTCATCTAATTTTCATATTATCCATTGGTTTTGATATAATTGATATATATATATGGAGTATCAATCAAATTAAAAGGGCCCTACCATCAGCCACCCCAATCCCATATAAACAACAAAGAGAAGAAAAAAAATATTCCAATCCACTCTATATTTGCTTCCCTTTCTGGAGTAATCTGCTAGAGAATTTTACGTATTTTTTTTTTTATATTAATCAACAGAGAATGCCAAACTTGACTCGAGGAAGCAAATCAGAAGTAATATTTTACTTGTACAGGAACATTGATAGACAGAAAAGTTATGAAGAAAATAGAAAAAGACCTGTGAATATGGAAAAATTTTCTATGATACACCCGTTTATGCCACATCTGATACACACTTTTCCTGGTCCATATCTGTAGCTACAACAATATTTTCAATTTGAGGTCTTTCAAGTCTATCTGTAGCTACACATCCATCATCATCACATCTTTTCAACCAATTATAAATTCACATGTTTAAATTTTAAAGAGCTTGTTTAATAGGAGGAGAAAGTGAAAGTGAAAGGAGTGAGAGGGGTTAAGTTATCAATGCAAAAATTTTGATACCCACGAGACAAGAGAAGGCAACGAATTTGGTTTAAGATTTCAATCAAATGAAGTATCCGAATTCTAATCTCTTTAAATATATTAAAGATTAGAGGATGGAATACGTATCAAACACAATAAGAGAAATTTTTATTTTGCCTCTCTGTTTTTCTCACATTGGTTATATTCCTCTCTGAAGTTAATTCAAGCATTTGATATTCGATATGGTGAAAGAACTCACTGTGACACGAACTGTTCGAGACCGTGAAATGATGCCTTTTCCAACCATTATACATTTTTTAACTATGAGATTAGAACCATTTTTTATTTACGTGTGTTTTTTGTGAGAGAAAATACTGTAACGAACCATGAACTATGATTCGAATCAGAAAACGAATCCTCCAACCAAACGGGTGGTTGAAAAAGTATAACAGTAAAGATTAATCCTAAAATATGCTCAGTCATTCAAAAAACAAAAAACAAAAAACAAAAAAAAACACTTGCTGTCATGTGAGAATAGTGAAAATAAAGATTGGAAAGCACCTGGAAATTCATTTACAGTGGTAGCTTAATTAGTGGAACAATAATACAACCACCGGCCGAGGCAGGTGAGGCATGGGGGGCATATGCACCGCTGAATTTTTGGTTTTTAAAATTTTACCCCACATATACTCAAATTTTTTTTTATATATGCCCTCCCTTTTATTGATAAAAATTTCAAAACATCTCCATTAAATCGAATCTAAATATTTTTTTTAACTAGTTAGTTTTTTCTAATTGTTTTTTTGTTCTTTCCTATTAAATTCTATTCTTTTTAGTATACCTAATTAAATTATTTCTCTTTAATTTACTCTAGTTAAAATTTTTTTTTTTTCAAATTTGTCCATTCTAAAATATTATTTCATGCGAACTTTATTATATGAAAAGTGAGCCTCACGAGAAAAACTTAAATGGCCTTTCTCAAATACATCCCTAAGCATTTTTTTTTTTTTTTTAAAGTAACACTCTCAATTACTATTTTTTCTTGAACATTTTTTTTTTCTATCAAGCGCATAAAGTATTTTAATTATTTCATTCACAAGAGCATGGCTAAACGTAAAGGTATCTACAACCATTATAGTACTAAGACTTAATAAGGCACAATATGTAATGTATTTCAACTAGCTAATAATATCAGTAGTTGATATTATTAGCATTAGCATTGATGAATTCTTCGCATTTTTAATTTATGCCTCCTGTGAAACATAATCTGGCTCCACCACTGTATTATATACAACAAATGTCACACTTCAATCATTTTCGACCAATTTTATTCCATAGAACTGTAACACACAACACGAGAAAGAAAAATAATAATGAAAAGGAAACTGACGCAATAAAGTATGAGAAATAATGGATTACCTTGTGAACTTAGCGATCCAAAAACCAACGAAACTAATGTGCGTAGGAAGGACATAGCAGTACAAGGTTGACTGCAATATGACTTATAAATTTAGGAAATCCCCCATTTTCCGAGAAAGAACCAAGTGATTAAGGCACATAATCTAAATCTTTTTGTAATGCTTTATCATGGCGACTACGAACTATGTGGGACTTAATTATAATTATAATATGAAACTCGAAAGAGAAAACGCAAAGTACATAAACCAGATGCGTAATATCACCACCAATAAGCAATCAAGGATGTGATTTTGGAAACAAACAAGAAAGCGTCCGATTCGCAAAGCCATTTTAGTCAGCATTGACAAGGCCTACCATGTGTATTCTAGCACACTTTAGCTTGCAAGGAAAATATTAATCTGCTATAAAATATTGACATATGCTTGCAAGCATCCATTTCAAATACACAAAAGTCAAAAAAGCTTTGTTTAGGTTTTCAAGAGGATTTTTTGTCCTCTTTTTTCTCTCTCTCTTTTTTTTTTTTTTTTTTTTTTTTTTTTTTTTTTTTCTTTTTTTTTTTTCTTTTTTTTTTTTCTTTTTTTTTTTTCTTTTTTTTTTTTCTTTTTTTTTTTTCTTTTTTTTTTTTCTTTTTTTTTTTTCTTTTTTTTTTTTCTTTTTTTTTTTTTCCTTTTTTTTTTTCTCTCTTTTTTTTTTTTTTTTTTTTTTTTTTTTTTTTGGCATAATTGGACTTTTTATACATGTTATTTTTACTTGTTTGTTTTTCATTTATTTTCTTTCAAACTTTAAGAACAAAACCATTAACGTTATTCTCATAGCATCTTGAACAAGTACACTAAAAAGGAGAAAGAAAAAAGAAGAAGAAAAAGAAAGAGGTAGGCGTGTGAATACGGCCAATTGGCAATAGTTACCCACGTGCTTTATTTGAGAGAAAAGGGCCCGTTTAGTTGAGACGTAACGTTCAAACTTGTAATTTTAATTCATTCACTTTAATCTTGTGAGAGAATTATTGACGGAATTTTTGTTTTTAAAATTTTTATAAGTGAAAAACACTATAATAAAATTATAATTAAAGGTTTAAATACATCAACCAAGCGGGCCTGAAGGTGCATGAACTCAACAGACGGACAAATAAGTTGAAATGTGAAAATTTTCAGTTGGGTTTTCTTAGAACAATTGTTAAGGTAGGTACAAGGCAGAGCGTACCTACCAACCGAAAACGACACACCTGACTGTCGTTCGTTAACTTCCCATAGACATACTCACGCAGACCCTTTTGTTGACTTGACATATGCTCAAATAGACTATGACATAACTTTCTAAGAATTTTATAAACGCTCGTGTGCAACAAGCTTCAATAACGACTATACCATTCATGTGGACGTATATAATAAATCGTACACGAATATAAACATGATGCTTTTACCAACCAAGATTAGCTGATTCCAATTTACAAAATAGTAAGCGAAATTCCACTTCAGGTCATAAATGAGCAGGCAATTGAACGATATTCAGTGCAAAGAAAGGTTAAAACTCTAGATTTCAAAATTTCTTCCCAGGTCCCACTAGCTATTAGTAACAATAACAGAATGACTTTTTTATGCAAAAATGTGAGCTGATTTCAAAGATCACTTCATAACCCAATACGAGAATTAATACACAGCAGTCACCTCCTGTAATAGATCTGCACCTTCAAGCTCCCAGGATTAGACGTAGCAGAGACAATTCCATTGTATCTTGCTTTTAAGGTATAACAATCATGGTTGCCTTTTAGAACGAGGCAAGAGAGCGAGAAGAATCTTTTTCCTAGGCCCCTGCAAACAAACAATCGTATAAGAAGCAAATACCGGACTTGGTTCAAGAGCAAAGAAGTCAACTAAACCAGGTCAAGGATAAACAAGAACACATTAATAGGGAATACACGCGCACATGTGCAGAGCTTCTGTTAAAAGGCATTCTGTAATTAACTAACTAGCCAACTAAACTAGACCGTGCTATATCCATCACAATAACAAAGCACACCCAATGGTTGTAGGTTAGCAGCCTAGTTAAGGGTGCTTATTCTTGCATTGTTTACTGAATGCATAATCATGGGTAAAAAAAGGTTCCCATGCAGGACGTCAAACTCCAACTGATTACTTTTAGGTCCCTGGCATCGAATTGCTTGGCTATTGATGGACCAAACATGGTGAATATTGACATCGGCTACTACTGTACAGAAAAACATGAGTGCGCGTGCATGCGTGTACATCACACGTATTTGTCATGTGATAGTTCACTAATTCTATGCAGAAACCGTATAAACATCAAATAAGTAAAGCAGAACCACATAAAACAAATTAACAATCAATAACAGAAAAAGAAGAAAGAATGACCATGGGTATTCCCAGCTCTTTCAAGTCATTTTCTCCCATCTGCTTCAATGCAGTCATATCCACCTGAAAAATAAACCATCAACTCCATATAAGATGAAAAATGATTTGAAAATAAGACTGGGAGAAACAAATCAACATGAGAGACTGTAAACGAATAGAGAAAACTTAGATCTGACTATATCACATATCACCACAACTGCACGTTCCTTATTTGTTTGTTGGGGGCTTGGTGTGTATAGTGTGCAGCCAAAATTTTCACGACTGGGACTGGGCCCTTATTACCGGAGACATACTTAGGACATGCTTCTAAAAATTGCACAACTTAAGATAATAGGAAAATGAGATAGTTAACAACATAGTGACGCGTAAATAGCAGAAAATAAGAAATGACAAGTGCAAAAAACATACTTCCTCAGCCTTAAAAATAACAACATATTTTCCCAGTCCCAGTGAATGTAGCAAGCCATCAACAGTTTGTTGTTCCTCAACCTAGTAAAAGAACAACAAGTGAGAAAAGGAAAAGGAAATCAAGTAGCAGATAAGAAAACAGTGAAAATTGAAAAACAAATGACACTAAAAGCTCATAACAAGTCTCGTACCATGTATGGACTTTTTGATATGATGCTACTCAGCGGTGGAAGTTGGCTCATATTCGGTGCCACAGGCTTTAAAGGGCCAGGAGGTAATGCGGAATTTGATGTAAAACCTACAGTACCCATAGGCCTTGTCGTATCGATAACATCCTTACTCATATATGGAACTGATCTGACATCATCCATTGTCCTGTTTAATGGTCTCCTCGGAATTTCTTCCACGTTCCTTTGTGGAGAGAGACCCCTAGACGTACTTGGAATCCTATCTGGTGATCTTCGTCTTAGATGATCCACTGGCCAAGGCGAATATGAATTTCTATTTGAGTCTATCTTAGGTAAATCATCGGCACTTCTTGTTGAAGGAATTCGATCAAAGAAACCTGTCTCTTTTGGTTCAGGCAGGCGCTGCCGTACATCAGGAGTGGGCATCGGAGGCCTAACTGCCTTTTTCAGCTTATCACGAAGATCCTCAACCTTCCGGTCACCATTACTATGCGCTCTCCTAGAGGCATTTTTCCGCATGAGTTTTAACCGAAGGTCATCCTTACCAATGCGCACATCTTCATAATCCAAGCAATGATGAGTTACAAATGAAACAACAACTCAGAGATACAGTAACGCAGTGATAGAATCGACTCAAAAAATATAAGTAACGCAGTGACATCAATTCACATTCACAATATTTAAGCTTATTACCATTAGAACCGTTAGCTCTTGAACCCGATGTACTGATATCTCCTTGTTGGCTGCATTCAATACGGAAGAGAGTCAAGAGACAGAAAGTATCACCAAAGCTTGTGCCACAGTGTACAATTTCAGTTATATCTAACTCACGGTCACTAAAAATCCACAGCAGAGAAAACCAGAAACAAACATATTCAAGGCTACAAAAAAGCTAGAACAATGGGGGAATCACGCCCCGTTTGCTGCCGCCATTAAAAAGGCTTCCGTTTGGCAAGTGACCATCTCCACTACTTCCTAACCTATCTCTTACAGACCGCTTTGTCCCTACAGCAGGCATAGACTCATTGAAAGAAATATCTGACCCAGATGATTCCTTCTTCACTACCTGTAAAAACAGTATATTTTTTTACTTAAGCAAGAACACTAAAACCCTAACAATGTCCAAAATCGCATGAAACCAAACTTCACTGCGACGTTACTACTAAAATTTAGATAAATAAGTAACAATCACTGAAATTCATTCGCTTATTGATTAGTAGATAGATGCAATTCAAACGGGAGGCCGGCCATTTCTCTCCTTTTCTCGGAAGCCAAACGGACTTAACTAAATTCCCAAAATTTTACCAAAAAATCATTTAATCGAAATTTCGACAAAGCAAGCAATGTAAACCAGATTGGAAGTGAAAAGGTTTAAGGAATTACATACTTGGCCACTACGCCCAAGAGAAATGGTGACTCTGCCCCTGGAAGTCTCCGCCATGAATCAAAATCCAAAAACAAAAATAAAAGAATATAAACCCTAGCTAATCTGGAACCAAATGAAATCACAATCGACGAGAAGAAGACGAGGCATCAACGGCTAGGAGCCAAACCCTAAAGTCGTTCACCAAAAGGGAAAGCCTAAAAGGAAGCGGTTTCGTCTCTTCACTTTCTCGCTCTTTCTCGGGAAAAAGATCAAAGGCGCTTCTCTGGGTTGATTCGAAACAGAGAAATGGGGAAGCTCGGAAGCAAAAACGTTGTGTCGCTGATGAATGATGATTTGATTATCGAAAAAGGTCAAAGCGTGGACTCCCGAAAATGGGCCGCGATTGATCGGGATCATTAAACCATCAGCCTCAATACGGGACGTCCGATTAGAGGACTTATCCTAGGTTTTGTTTGGTATTGCTTTTTCCTCACAAAATCAGCTACAAGTAGCTTCTGCTTCTAGCAAAAACTGATTATAATGTTTAGTAAATCTCTTCAAAAGTATTTTTTAAAATTTTTTTCAATAATCTACAGTTAAAATAAAAAACAGCCTAAAGACAACTTTAATTTTTAGATTGTGCAGGAATCAATATAGTACAATTAATGAAACTTTCATAATACCCATAATACCCCTAATGAAATTTAAAATTTACAATCTTTCCCATCTAAAATTCATACTTATAATATAATATAATAGTAATATTGTAACAAATAATATCATAATTATATAATATGTTATTTAATAATAGTTTTATTGTATTATATTAAATATAACAATAAATATACATTATATTGTAATTATATATATTATATTATAGTATAATATAATATAATCGTTATTTTTAATTATTTCAGTTATTATTTTAATAATATTATTATATTTTATATCATAATTATATAATATGTTATTTAATAATAGTTTTATTGTATTATATTAAATATAACAATAAATATACATTATATTGTAATTATATATATTATATTATAGTATAATATAATATAATCGTTATTTTTAATTATTTCAGTTATTATTTTAATAATATTATTATATTTTATATCATAATTATATAATATGTTATTTAATAATAGTTTTATTGTATTATATTAAATATAACAATAAATATACATTATATTGTAATTATATATATTATATTATAGTATAATATAATATAATCGTTATTTTTAATTATTTCAGTTATTATTTTAATAATATTATTATATTTTATATCATAATTATATAATATGTTATTTAATAATAGTTTTATTGTATTATATTAAATATAACAATAAATATACATTATATTGTAATTATATATATTATATTATAATATAATATAATATAGTCGTAATTTTTCACTATCTACAGCAATTCAACCTCATAATTTACCAAACGTTATTACACTAATTTTGGAACCATCATAACTATTATAATTATAGTTTATCAAAACTCAGCTACTTTTTGTAACAACTGTTTCTTCCTTGAGCACAGCTAAAAGTAATTTTTCTAAAATCTACAGCACTACCAAACTAAGCCCTAGTATTTTTAGCAACTTTTTCTTTTGAAAATTCTACTTTTTGCAATCTATATGTTAGTTGGAGCTCTTTGTAAAAAATCATTTAATGAAAGATATTTTATTTACTAGATAATGTTCAAAGTTTTTAATTCGTAAAATGACTTCGAAACGATCACGCACAATTAATTTTTACATTTTATGGCCATTTGGTCATTCAATGTAAAAACTAAAAAAAGTCATTTTGTTAATAATTCACTTGCTTATATAATCATCTTAATAAATTTCTCTGATAGTAGTAGTGGTGTCAATTAAAACCCGACTAGATGGAACGATGTCCATTACCCAACCCACATAAAGACCCGAATCGAGTTGGGTATGTACCTTAGGCCTGAAAACATAACCATGTCGGGTTCATCTTTATTTTTTTGAGAAAATTACAGAATTTACCCTTAAGAGTGTATGAGTCTGGACTTTTACTCTTTATTATTGATAAATACCCTCTTGTTAGTGTAATTATTTAACTAAAAAAGTTATGAATCAAGAGTAAAAATTCTTATTCATACACTTTTAAAAGGTATTTATTAAAAAAATTCTTATTCATACACTTTTAAGAGATATTTATTAAGATTATTCTTATTTTTCTTATGTAAAATGCTCGAACTGACCCACGAGAGTTTCTAGGTCAAGTTCGGCTGACCATCTGCTCATAAGCCTTAGCTGACCTGACCCGTAAAAGAAACCGGGCACTTGTTTGTTTAACTTATATCTATTATAATGTTGTTTAAAAAAAAAAAAAAAAGTACCCCAATGCTTTGTTATTATAGCTATATTTCTTTATGTTCCTAAGTTTTTATTCAGGACAAGTATAAGAAAAAAAAATTAATAAAAAGTTAGAAAGCTCAAAATCTTGTGAGTTGGGAGAAACTTGTTTTTGTTACGAATTAATTATGCGTGGATGCTATTTAATATTTTATAACCTACTAACTTATGACTTTTGTTTTTGCCTTGTGATTCTTAGTCTATAAATAGATGATGCGTGAGAATATATTTTTCACACCGTTACATGTGAAAAGAAAGAATGGAAACTTACATGTATCTTATCTTTTTCAATTGTTCTTATTAGTTCCTTATAATATTTTATTGAGGAAAAACACACCTCTATATTCATGCAGTAGAAAAATAAATTAAACAAAAATAATATAAAAATAAAGAAGACAAAGATTTTAGTGGTTTGAAAAATTTTTCTATGTTCACGAGAGAAAAAAAAATTCACAGTTTCAGAATTATACAATCAACACACTTTCTCACTTTCTCATTGTCTCTCTCTACCCAAAACCCCCCTTACACCCTTTTATATCTCTCTCCACACTTTTTTCTCTCTCTCAAAAGTAGACACTATTTCTCTGTATTTTTCTCTGAGCACACTTTTCTTTAAGCACACAAAACTTTATACAAAATACTTATTTATAGACTCTTAATAACTATTTCCTAAAAACAAAAAAAAAGTAGCTTTTCTAAAAACACAAAATAGTAACTTCTCTAAAACAAATTTGAGGCACTTGCCTGACATATTTTAACTTTTGTTATTATCTTATAGCACGTTTATAAGCAAAAGTCTCTAATCACTCTTGTTGATCAAGGATTGCTTTAAGTTGTGCAAGATTTAGAGATCATATTGGATATTAGCCTCACCCCTTTGAACAGACATATGTGAAGTATTTTTGACATTGTCAAAATTATATCCTGAGGTAAAACATTTAATTCTTATAAGATCACTGTGTGTATATATATATATGTATATATATATATATATATATATATAATTTCGAGACAAGTTTCTATACTGTTGTTGTTGAGGCATATGTTTATCTATCATCTTTTCATTTGTGACTAGAAAGTTTGCCAAGAACATTTAAAAAGTGGCACACATTTAAAAGGTCGTCGGCTGGTCGCAAGAATTTTTAAATTACAATGTGATACCTCCAGATATCATGATAGGATATTATATCGGTTATCTATTGTCAACATTTTCTGTATCACGACACAATACCACTAAAGTATCAGACCAATTGCTAGCATGATTGTATAAGGGTAGATTTGATATTTTGAATATAATGGTATGACACGACATAACGTGACAATAGAACATTATCTGTAAATTTTTTTCCCGCATGACATAAGTTAATCCAAGACATGAATTATGTAGTTTAACAAAAAAAAAAAAAAAAGTCGTGAATTGTTTAAGGCAAAAATATGTAAAGAGCCCCATTGATTTCATTATGGCCCAAAGTTAAGCACTCTTGAGTGAGCTCTGGACGCCCAATTACAAGATCCAGTTGTTTCTTAAGATTTTTTGGGTGCCCAAAGAGATATGGATTTTTTTTTTTTTTTTTGCTTGAGAAAAGAGATATGGAATTAGTGTGCCGCTAATAACTACTAAAACCATATTTTGTGGGGGCATAAATAAGTACAAAATAAATTTAAAACTAAAATAAGAACATGTTAATAACAAATTAACAAAATTACATTAGTTGTCCTGTAATCAATAAGCCGCTTTTATATTTGAAAGCGTAGCACAATTTATGGCAATATTACTGTAACAATAATGCTATCGGTACAATTATTTTAGGATTTACTAACATTACGTCAATTAAGTAAAAAGCTATTTGGGTACTTTTTTTTTTGCCTCAACGACAAAATAATGATGAAATATATAATTTTTCAAACGTTACACGTGATTTTTTAATATGTTGATCACAAGCTAATATTTAAATAGATCAATGTTGAATTTAACGATATATATATATATATACACGCATACATGTTATACATAGAAATTAGAGCTAGCGCCCCAAAATTAAGCAGCATAATAATCTCAATTCCATAAATAATGAGGACTAATTATAATTTGGTTTACTTGGTGCTAGGGCTGTTTATGGGTTGGGTTGGTGCGGGGTAGGACTTTTTATTCCCCCGTCTCAAAGGGTGCAGGTTGCACATATTTAGCCCTAACGATGTTAGAAAAATTTCATAACCCAATGATGTTTGAGTTGGGTTGGGGCGGTGCGGGTTGGGTTGGGTGGTTGGTTTCAACATTCAAAGAATCAAATACTCAAAGTTCAATCCAATATCAAACATGAAGCAAAGTAGTCCATCTAACATCAAACATAAAGCAAATATAAATTAGTCTACACTCATAAATTAGTCTTAAGATAAAGTAAACATAGAGGCTTAATTCAAACATGAAGAAACTAGAGAGTAGAAATGAGTTGCCTGCCTAGGATTAAATATTAGAAGAGGTAAGTTAGAGAGCGGGTTGAGTTGGGGTGTGCGGGCCATTATAGGCCCAACTCACACCTCGTCTTAAAACTTCAGGCCAGACATTGAATGGGCTACACACAAAAATTTAATACTAGAAATTACATTTATTGAGTTGGGTTGGGGTAGGGTGGGTTGGGCATGCGGGTTTATGAACAGCCCTACTTAGTGCATCATAGCTCAGGGCATCTTGTTGACACTGATCATCAGGGTACAGTACTACGCATGCAAGAGCCTAAAATATAAATGATTCACTCACTAATTACGAACTTACTAAATGATTCTAAATTCTGACCATGCAATCTTAGTCCTAGCTAGTTGCACTCCATGAACAAAGCAATTTGAATAATACAGGTAAAAAGAAGAAGAAGAAAAAAAAGTACGAAAGGTAAGAACTAATCCAAAGTATATA